GGGGTTTGCCGGGGGTCCCCCCGCCAGCAACTGAACCATGGTCGGAAACCAAGCTGCGCTCGTGCGCTCCGGAGCTATCAGGATGACGTGCAGCCACTCGTCTTGCATGCGTGAGAGGAGGCGTGGGATTAATGAGACTGGGGGGAATGCGTAGAGGAGAACCCTCGGCCAGGGGTGGTGAGCAAAGGCATCCACCCCTAGAGGCGGGTCATCCCTGTCGTACAGTGAAAACCAGAGGCGGCACTGCGCGTTCCCGTGTGCTGCGAACAGGTCTGCTACCGCTCGGCCGAACCTGTCCCACAGTGTCTGAGCTAGGGCCGGATTCAGCCTCCACTCGCTGGGCTGGGGTCTGCCCTGGATAGCAGGGAAGCTGGGCCAGACTGGGGGAGGCTTACTCAGTTGCTCCTCTCTGTAGTAGTCTCCCACCATGTCCGAGGGGGTGGGAGGTGGTCCAGCCGCAGGAATGGGGATGCCTTTACGACCTGCTGCCTTGGTGATAATTTCCGGCAAGTCGTGGAGCAGGGCACCAAATGCCGAAGGATGGCCGGCGTTGGAAGCGTGCTGCTCAGCCGGGGGTAGGGTGTCTCTGCCGGTGTCCAAATCAGCCATTGGGGCGATCGGAGAACCGGGGGAGCTGGACCCAGGCACCCAGAACTCCAGGAACTCCAGCGGGGCATCCGCCATGGGGCTGTCACCGCAAGAGGCCCAGGAGATGCCGTCGTCTGGGCCTTTCTCCTTTATCACAGCGAAAGCATCCACTCTCTGCTGCTTCTCCGCTACCGGCAGGCAAGCGCAGAAGGGGCAAGCAGCCTGGGGGGAGAGAGCCAGCTCGGCATGCTCAGCGTCGAGACAGGCCTCGCAGCGGGGGTGCGGGTCGCTGGGCAGAATGAAGCCCGTGTCGCAGCCGGGGCATACGGTGACAGCAGGGAGGCGCCGAGTTCCACTGGAGGAGGAGAGTTGCTCTTTAACCATAGTTGTTCTCTTATGAGAACGCTCTATAGAACTGTTGAAGAAAAAGAGGGAGGTGAGGTTAGGTCACAGTGGCAGTTATACTGCTGCTGTGGGCCTAATTGAGGACAACCCAGTGCAGGGCACAGGGCACGAAAGAACTGCGCATGCATGAGGAATAAACCCAATAGCGACAGCTCTACCATAGTTGTTCTCTTATGAGAACGCTCTATAGAACTGTTGAAGAAAAAGAGGGAGGTGAGGTTAGGTCACAGTGGCAGTTATACTGCTGCTGTGGGCCTAATTGAGGACAACCCAGTGCAGGGCACAGGGCACGAAAGAACTGCGCATGCATGAGGAATAAACCCAATAGCGACAGCTCTTAGAGGGCGAAGCCTATATGAAATAGAACTCCCTGAGAATTATCACACCTGTCCAGAACCTGAGATCATAACAAGTTACATGGCTTATTAAAAGAATCAAATTACAGCAGTAATTTCAGTTAGATTACTTTTAGTACGAGTGATTTGGCCCACTTACAACATACTACACAGCTCATGAAAAACAAGATTGTCTTTTTCATTGTAAGTCAGGGTGAGGATCCTGCTCTGGAAGAATTGAGACATGTACACCTTTCAGAGATCAAATTTTGTTCACATTGAAACATTCACATTTTGCACAATGAGATGTCTGCTGTAGCACAAGCATGTGATACAGTGTAAAGTCCTGTAATTCTTTGTCTGTAAAATACTGTATATACCGGTAATTACACCATTTTTTATTAGCATTTCTGCTACTCATAATCTAGTAACATAATTTAATGATTAATATCCATAAATTAAAATCTCTGAATAAATGACACTAGAATAAGCACAAATCTGATGGGGGACTTAAATTTCACTTTATTTTTCCCGTCTGTCCTTCACTTCAGCCCTTTCTCACTCGAAAAAGAAAAAATCTCACCCAGTTTCACCTCTTGTTCTTCTGTTCGCACATACTCCGACAACCATTCCATCTTAAAAGACCCGCATTTCTTTTTTTTACTTCGGCTTGGTGAGTGGATGTGCCACTGCCCGTTCGTTTAGCCATAGTAAGGGGTTAGCTTAGCAAATCTAGCCACATGAAGTTAATTGGGGTGAGAGTAGAGGATGCCGAGGATAGAGTTAGGTGGAAACAGATGATTCGCTGTGGCGACCCCTAACGGGAACAGCCAAAGGAAGAAGAAGAAGAAGGGGTTAGCTTAGCAGCATTTACCTCTCTTAACGGTGCTGCACCCTTAGCTATATGCTAACCTGCAAAACAGGGGCACGTACGCATAAAGCGCTGTTAATGACATTGATTGACTGCGTAAGTAAATAGTGTACGTGCCAACCGCATCATATCATTGGCTGGACAGTGTTAGTCATTGTTTTACTGTAGTTACCCCTTGTTGTCACTTGTCACCCACTGAGTTGCATTTCAAAATGGTACAGAATAAATTATGTTTATTTTATTTATAGTTCAGGTTGGATTTTATTTTATGCACTGCATAGATTTGCTGTGCGCGGAGAACGTGGGAGCAGTGCGCGATTGCGCAAGCGTGCAGCTTAGAGGGATCAGAGATGATGTCACTTCCTGTCTGATTCCAGATGCGGGTGTTGCTGTTGTGTTACTTCCTGTCCTCTCTGCTGGGCGCTGATGCAGCTCCAGCTGCAGATGAGGTGACATACCTGCCCGGCCTGCAGAAACAGCCAAGCTTCAGACATTACTCTGGATACTTGAGTGTGGCCGATGGAAAGCACCTGCACTACTGGTCAGTACCTGAGACACACCTGGCATATCTCTGTTAGGACAGTTGTTGATTTTCAGCTGAATCCTAAAACATCACCAGTAACGTACTCCGTTATTTAATCTATGAAGCTTCTGAGCAAGTGATGCTGAAGATACCTGTTGTCATCACCTGATTTTTCATCAGGTCATTAATCCATCACCTGTGTACACTGGCATTTGCTATTACATTGCAGGTACATACACCCTCCACTCAAGTGAGTGTAGTGACATTCAACTGAGTGGTGTTATGCTCCTTGACCATGCTATTGTTCCAGGTTCGTCGAGTCCCAGAACAACCCATCCTCTGACCCGGTGGTGTTATGGTTGAACGGTGGGCCCGGCTGCAGCTCTCTGGACGGACTGTTGACTGAACACGGACCCTTCCTGGTAGGTGACCTGATTCCACCCACTTGACACCTAGTCACCTATATCTGTGTGATGTCATAGGGACACCTGCTGACTTCTGTCGTTCTTAGATCCAGGATGACGGAGTGACGTTGCAGTACAACCCATACTCCTGGAACAAGGTCTGTTAACCAGCACACACCATGACTCGGGTTGTATGGGCAAATGTTTAAGGTTTTCGTGGTTCTTGATAGCTGATTGGTTGACTGTGTCTGGCAGATTGCCAACATTCTGTACCTGGAGTCTCCAGCAGGGGTCGGGTTCTCATACTCTGACGATCAGAAATATGGCACCAACGACACAGAGGTCAGTGACAGTGCCTAAAACTCAGCTTCTGACTGGCATACAAATGTTAGGTGTTTAAAGTGTTTTTCCTCCTCAGGTGTCGATGGCCAACTACCTGGCTCTGAAGGAGTTTTTCCACCTGTTTCCAGAGTTCAGCAAGAATGAACTTTTTCTGACCGGAGAGAGTTACGGAGGGATCTACATCCCAACACTTGCTGAGAGAGTGATGGAGGACACCAGCCTCAACTTGCAGGTATACACTGATACCACATTACTACACATTAATACTGCAGGACTACACATTAATACTGCAGGACTACACACTTATACTGCAGTACTACACACGGATACTGCAGTACTACACACGGATACTGCAGTACTGCACATCGATACTGCAGTACTACACACGGATACTGCAGTACTGCACATCGATACTGCATTACTACACACGGATACTGCAGTACTACACATGAATATTGCAGTACTGCACATCAATACTGCACTACTACAAACGGATACTGCAGTACTGCACATCAATACTGCAGTACTGCACACCAATATGCACTGATACTGCTGAAGAAATCTGTGTCTGATCAGTGCTGGTCGGTGGTAGGTTAACGTTTATGACCTTGTCATGTTACCCGTGTCTCACCTGTCCTGTAGGGTGTTGCCGTGGGAAACGGGCTCTCGAGTTATGAGATGAATGATAACTCCCTGGTGTACTTCGCCTACTACCACGGCCTGCTGGGAAGTCGACTGTGGACTGAACTGCGCATATTCTGCTGCAAAGATGGGATGTGTAATTTCTACAACAACCCGGACCAGAACTGCACCTCCAGCGTGAGTCTGAACTGGGTCATCTGATAAACCAGTCTGAACCTGGTTTACTTTACAGTCAGTTCATATCTAAAGCTGGTCTGAACTGGTCTATCTAATAAACCAGGTCTAAACCAGTTGGGAACCATTTGGTTAACCTTGTTTTGTCTGAAGGTGTCTGAGGTTCGGGACATTGTCTACGCTTCAGGATTGAACATGTACAACCTGTATGCTTCCTGTCCAGGTGGAGTCAGCCAAAAAGTCAGGTGAGTTGTGACCTTTGACCCATCACAGAAGACCGAGTTGTTTTTTTGTTTTTTTAAGTGAACACATGTAAATGTTTGAATTGATACCAAACATAAACATGGGATCTGTAGCTGCTGCTTAAGGCAAACTCACCTGTAGCAGGTGTAGTCTGACCACAGACAGGTGAGAGGTGTTGACTTCTTGTTATTGATTATCAGCATTGAACAAGGTCAGCTGGTGATCAGGGATCTAGGAAACTTGTTCATCAACCATCAGTGGACCCAACTGTGGAGCCAGGTATGTATGAAATGACCTGCGTGTGTACATTAAGCACACCTACCTGACAGATGGATGCATACTGGTTTTTTTCCTGACAATGTGTAGAAGCTACGAGGTATGGCATCTCTTCATGAGTCCATCCGTCTGGAACCCCCTTGTACAAACTCCACCCCCTCCACGCTCTACCTGAACAACCCGTATGTCAGAGCTGCTCTGCACATCAGCCCCAAGGCCTTGCAGTGGACCATCTGCAGGTAACACTACACCTGGTGTACACTGCACACTTATCCCATAATACCTGTAGCACACCTGCATATGCCTGTTAAGCTGCACATTGAGTGGTATCACAGAGAGCTGCTGTGGCTGGCTGCATGTTTCTCATGTGTCATTAAAGCTGTAAAGTATCCCTACTCATCTTGTGTTGCAGCGCTGATGTGAATATGAACTATGGTCGTATCTACCTGGACGTCATGAAACAGTACCTGAAGCTGCTCTCTGCTCTGGTCAGTGAACAGATCTCCTGATCTTCTTTATTCTGACATTTCAAATCACACAGAGAAGACTCTCGATCACACCAGGCTTCATTCACAGTTTAAACCTTTCTGGCCACCTCACCTTAAGTTACACTCAAAGCTCGTACTTGATAAATTCCGTATAATGAGATGTTTCAGTCATGTCATGTTGTTCAGGCTCGTTGGATATGAACAGATTAGTAATGAAGTACTCTATCACATATATCTGTCTGTCTCAACTACTGTCTCATTTTAATCAGTGCTAAGCTGTAGATGTGATGATGATGTAAAAAAGGTGACACAGAAAACTAAGCAGCATGCATTGTCCACTAATCGCCAGTGATCGATTCTGCACAGACCTCGCATGTGCCTGTTATTTTGGTGTTTTGGACCGATTACTGCCTCTACCTCTTTGAATGTGTGCCTGGCTGGTGATTGATGGATGTGCTGTTGTCAGCCTGGCCTGTTGGTCCAGGTGTGTGGGGCATGTCTTTGTTAAAGTGTTGTGCTCTCTGCAGAAGTACCGGGTCCTGGTGTATAACGGGGACGTGGACATGGCCTGTAACTTCATGGGGGACGAGTGGTTTGTTGAGTCTCTGCACCAGCAGGTAACTCCAAGTGCAGCTTATTAATCAGTAATCAATAGGTGGATCCAGCTATGACTATCAGGGATCTCTGACAACATCTGCAGAGTTTCTTCTGTTTTCTCTTCAGAGGCATTTGAGTTGGTGATGATGATTCACTTCTTAACTATAACAAACAGTCTGTTATTTTTGTTTTCAAAGACTTGGTATGATGGAAAACAGAGGGGGCAACACGGTGGCGCAGTGGTTAGCGCTGTTGCCTCACAGCAAGAAGGTTCCAGGATATATGGGTTGCGTCAGGAAGGGCATGTGGCGTATACATACAAATGTATACATGGGAACAGCTGATTCGCTGTGGCGACCCCTAGCGAGCGGAGAACAGCCGAAAGTAGTAGTAGGTATGATGGAACACAGAACAGCTTTGGGATGGATCAGGGCAATGGCAGAGGTCCTCCTCTGCTGTCAAACCACTGAACTCTGTCTCCATGGTAGTTCTACAATATTTAAAATGTTGATTCCCCTGCTGGCAGAGGAAGCGGTTTTGAAACCATGCTAAATATTGTGTTATACTTTGATACATAAGGATAAGCCTGCCCCTTGCACAGCACTGCACTGAGAGCACAGGAAGCTAAATGAAAACAGCTATGCTAAAGCTAACATTTGAAAACATGACTACTACTGTGTTAGGAAACTTAAACAGGATCCTCTTGCTACGACGCATCCATCTGAAGTGTCCAGTCTGCAACAGCAGGCTTCTCTCGTTCCCAGTCATCATCTGTTTCATATCTCTCTATAGTCTCTGTCTCCAAAAGCAGCCCTTAGCAAGGGAGAGGGCAACAGCACCTGCAAATTCATTAGTCCTCTTCTGATTGGCTGACGGTGAAGATGAGTCACACCTCCAGCCAATCAGAGTAGGTGCTCATGAATAATGTACATTTTATATTAATAACTTCTGGAACAGCTGCTGGCGGGTGGAGGGGAATCTAGGCTGTGGGTAAAGTGTTGTTTTTTTTGTAAAGATGGAGTCAGAGAAATCTGAAACCCTTTAGATTAGTAAAACGTCGCAGATGTGTTTAATTTGTACTCAGTATTTATAAAAAAGGACCATAATACCAGCTCTTTAAATCTCATTTAAAAACAAAATGAGCAACATGCAGGTGGGGTTCAGTAACCCAGCACGAGGATGGTTCAGTAACTTGCTCATTATTGTTGCTCTGAGTCCTTGTGCTGTATAATCTGGGTATAGCACCAACCAGTTATCAGCTCTCTTTAATAATAACAGCTGAGAGTGCTCGTAGCTGGAGGAAACCCAGAGTTAACAGAACTTGTGGTAACCAGCTTATTGTACTGGTTGTCCAGGCTCAGTGAAGCAGGTAAAACCAAGAGAGCTGGACTCTGATTGAATTCAATGTTATTTGTATAGTGCCAAATCACAACAAAGTCATCTCAGGACACTTTACAAAGTCATGTCTAGACCTTATTGTTATTATTATTATAGAGGAAATACACAACAAATCCCCCTGAGCAGCACTTGGCAACAGCAGGGAGGAAAAACAGGAATCCTCCGACAGACCGCAGCTCTTGGTGGGCGGCCTTCTGCCTCGACCGGTTGGGGTGAGTGGATAGAGGAGAGAGAAAAGAAGAAAAGCAACAGGACACAACAAACAATGAAACACTGGTCAGGTTGATGTGGCCAGTTCATCAGAGATGTAGAGCTCCAGAGCCAGGGCAACCTGCAGAAAGGTACAGGGAGAGAGAGAGGACACACTACGGGAGAGACAGAGGAGAGGAGAGGATTGTGCCCCCCCCCAAAAAAAAGCAGCCTAGGCCTATAGCAGCATAACTAAGGGAAGGCTCAATCACCTGATGCAGCCCTAACTATAGGCCGTATCAAAATGGAAAGTCTTAAATCTAATCTTAATCTCACTCCGTGGCCCAAGACTCTGGACTCTGAGCTCGCCGTTTCCCATTCATGCTGTTGTTCTTGTGTTCAGTCAAGTGTCCCTGCTAATTGGTTATTTTAGCTGTCACAGTAATCCCTAACATCAGGTGATCTCCAGGTGAGGCGTCAGGTGTATTAACCTCAGGTTTCTCTCAGGTCGAGGTTGAGAGGCGACCCTGGTTCTACAATGATGAAAGTGGTCATCAGGTCGGAGGCTTTGTCAAAGAGTTCAGCAACATCGCCTTCCTCACAGTCAAGGTAAACACCCACATCATTGTCAGGTGACCCTGTGATGTCATGTTTCTGGGGGAAGCTCTGCTGCTCCTCACTTGCCTTAATGTTTTAATGTGTTTTATGCTGGAATGCCTCACTCTACACATGTACCGGTGATGGGTGAGTTTCATTGTTTAAACTCTGCGGCTGACCTTTGAACTCTGTCCTCCTGCAGGGTGCTGGTCACATGGTTCCATCAGATAAACCAATCGCTGCCTTCGCCATGTTCACCAGATTCATCAAGAGACTACCCTACTGACCTCTGACCCCTTTTGGGTTACCCCTCCCTCCTCTTTGTCCTAATTATTAAGGCTGCTGTACTTAAATTTTTTTCTCACTGCCAGCCAATCAGCACAGCTCTCCTCTGTGTTGCCTGGGAACTCTGTGGTTGTCAGGGAAACGAGCACTGCCGTCCATCTGTCCATTGATTTAACGTGAAACTCCTGGTGTTTATGGTTTAAAGGGAAAATCGTACAATAAAGTTTGATTATAAATGAGGACTCTAAATGAGGCTGTTTTGTTCTTGACGTGTCTGTAAAAAGTACGACCTGAACCTGTTTATGTTTAAAGGCGTCAACCTGTTCCAGCCGTCAGTCTGTAGAATTTTGCTGTATGCTGTGTTGGTCGTGTTCTCTCACTGCGTTCACACAGATCCAGCAGGATTAAGTCTCTGGCCACATGAAACTGCTGATCTGTCTGTGTTGAACACATCAAACTCTGTCCCCACTGGACAAGTGTTTTCTGATGTGCTACTTGCAAGAAAGTAGCTAATTTCCTGCTGTACAATTGGTTTCAGAACAGCTTTGTTTGCAGGCTCTAAAAATGATCAGCACTGTGGTCCTGCATGTGTACTGGAAGTGATCTGCTGGAGCCAACAGTAAAAACGCCACTGTTCAAATAAATCTGGCTGTCGCTCACATTGGGTCAGGGGATGTTTGTCACCTGTACAATGTCACTGAATGATGTAAAAACCACCCCAAGCAGAGGCAGCCACTACAGACTCTGGAGGCTGTGCTCCTGTGTAGGTGGGGTGGGGGGCCTTTGTCTCATATTCTGTCCACTGATGTCTGAAATCTGGGCTCATGACTGTTTAGTAACTGCTGTCATCTACACTTTAACTATAAATCCAGGTTCACACTTACAGGATGAGTTCACCTTAATGAGCAAACCCCCAGACGTGGGTGAACTTGTTATTAGTACAACGTGTAGGCAGATGCCTCAAACACCACCCTGTCTGTTTACTGAAGTTTTCTGTACACTAGGGGTGGCCAATTCCAGTCCTCGAGGGCCGCTTGTTTTCCAACTATCCCTGCCTGACCTGCTGCTGATTACCTGGCTCAGGTATGGCCAGTCAGTCAGAAGCTGGAAGATACCAATTCACTTTATCTTTCCTCACTCCATATGTATAAAGCAAACCTTTCCTGTATTGTAGATCACACAGACATTGTAAAATGAATACTTTATGCCACATACCTTGTAAAACCCAGAAGTTATAATTCACAGCAAACAGTGATCTGAAATGACAGTCAAAAGCGGTCTAAATCACACTATGCTCAAAATATATCATTCATGTTAGGCATGAGAATATATATCATGTCAGCTGATACTGTTTTAAGAGAGTTTCATGCAGAATATTCAAATGACATTCTCTTAACACCAAGATTAATGAAATGGCTATTCTGTGACCCTACTGCATTTAGAAATGACATTCAGTCATATTTATGACCACAGCTACAGGGACAGATATGCAGGTCAGGGAGGGCTGGAACTTCACACTTTCCCAGGATTATCAACACACTGCAGGTCAACAAGTAAACAGTGGGCTTTGCACCAACCACACTGAGGTGGGAAGATCTCAGACTGATGAAGCTTCACAATAGCTGCAAATAAACTTTAAAACATATTTTAAGTGTGGATTTTATTCTCCATGACTTCCATTAGAAACATGAATATGGGGAAGATTTAGGGGAAAAAAATCTGTTGATGGACGTGTTGTTTTAACAGAGTGAACTTTAATTAAGATGCAGTTTGTATTGACTTCTATGTGGTCAGGTTAACGAACCTGCTGGCAGGATGTTAATCAGAGGACACGTTCAGTGACTCATGCTCCTGTGTTTGAAAGACTATCCAGGTATCCTTGTTCACATGTCAGTCAGGGTTGGCAAAATAATAGAAACATGATGGACTCAGACTCTTTGCCATTAAAGGATGTTACTTTTTCCCGTGTCCCATATGCGCTGACAGGAATGACAGGCTGTCTTCTTTACATAGGAACTTCCTGCCTAACACAGCCTGAAACAAAACCTGACTGGTCATAATTAGCTTTTGTACTGTGGTCCTTCATCACCAGAGTGACTGTATG